CTGCCTTACCCAGAGGCTTTCATTCAAGAGCCAATTCACTCGGAATGTAAATTGAATCTTTATAAACTTTGCAGTTTTACCCTTTTTGCTGCTTTCCTAATTGCTGGGCTCTAGGGGTGTGCTTGGGTGCCAAAATTATTTCAACCTTTTTGTGATGTAGCTGTTTTGGGAGTAAGGATTGGTGTTTCCTGTTCTGCTGATGTTTGTAGCTTTACATTTTAAATCCAAGTCAGAGACCCAGAAGCATGATGTCATTCTGTCATGCGGTAAAAAACAATGCTTTTCTCTCCAAGAGAATTGTATTGGTGTTTGCTGTATAACTTAAATATGCACCAAGTCCAGAGTAAATTTGTTAGGGCTGCTGTATAATTATGCTATAGACATACTTTAAGAATATTTCCACTGTGTGACTTAAGTCCACATTAATTTGATAGTATAGATCAACTTTATTTGATAGTAAGAACAAGCTATATGATATAACACAGTTGTGCAGGAGACTTGCCTGTAAAGAGACTGGCACTTTCAGACCGGTTATTGCGGAATTGGAGCCCAGTTGCGATACCCACCACTGTCTAACTGGCACAGAGTTGTTATTTTTGCGGACAATCTTTGTGATAGAGAGCAAGGATTGATCAAATAGGTTACTGTAGTATCCTGAGAAATGTAAAACCCTCTAATAAGGAAGACAGCTGGAAAGACAGTTTCAGTTTTCACTACTTGTAGCATACTTGCATGTATTTATATTCTCACTGAAGTGAGAAATCATTAAAAATGTAAATGTGAAAGGTTTGAATAATATGCTAGAAGGATCTGAAATTCTGAATTTACCTGCTTTGGGGGGTGATGTTGGGTTTTAGTGAGGGGTTTTCAGTGGTGGAAATTTTCAGGAAAATCAATTGACAGTTTAACTTAGAGATGCTGGGAGTGCAAACTGAAGTTGTAGTAAACTGGAGGCCACTGCTTGGCCTTTCTCTGATTCTCAATCAGGGAAGATCTGGGAATGAAAAGATCAACGTATGCTTTGACCAGGCAACATTGTTCTACAAGAAGGGAGAGGTCCCTTCCAACTGAAATACTCTATTCTGTAGTAAGTCTGGAGAATCTTCCTTACAGAAGACACTCAAACTCCAGTGTGTTAGCATTGGGCCTGCTGTCCCCTTTCTGTGCTTGTCTCATGCTATCCCTCATCCTTTGGGAACATCCTTCAGCTCCTTCCCACTCTGCTGCTGTTCCACCTGCCTCTGGGGGCAAGATTTTCTGCAGCTGCTGCACATCTGTAACTCCTCATCTGCTTGCCCTAGGTGCTTGCTACTGAACCAAGCAGGCATCAGGAGAAGGGCTCCCTCCTGCTGTGAGGTTAGCCATCCATCCAGAAGGCACAGCCTCTGTTTCTGGGCCAAGGAGCGCATACAGCCTCTGTGCTTCTGGCATCTCTGAGATACTGTTCTGCAGCTGTGCACTGCTCAGTGTCTCCTGTCCATTAGTTGCATTTGATGTCTCTATCTCTCTCTCAATCTCTCTCTCATAGCCAGTGTTCTTTTTTTTCCCCAAAGTAACAGGCCCTTTGGAAAGAAACACCTTTGGTCCTCATCAGCCAGAGGAGTTTTGGCCAAATGTGGTTGGCTGGTTTAATATGACCTTATTCATGGTCCAGAGAGCCTAATGCAAGGCTGGTGATGCAGCAGGAGTAGAATGGTTCCATTATGCAAATGGAATGAATTTGGGTGAATTAGTAGATTTTTGAGGGCATTTCCAAGAACTATGGGTGGCACCTTTTCAAAACATTCCTGTTAATGTGATGAGGTCAGTAGCAGTGTGCTGTCAATAAAAGGCCCCATTTTGAAGCTTCTTCCTTCCCCCCCTCGTCTCCTCCAGCATCATTTGTTTATAAAGGCCATGCTTAAGGACTTTACTTTGTTATTCCCAACTGAATATTTAATTTGGGATGTGGATTTGTGCTTTGTTTTGAGGTTTGTTAGTGGAAGCAGAGAGGCCAGAGGAAAAAGGATGAAGAGTTTTTCTGTGCTGTGGGTTGACATAGGATTTTGCAGGGTATCTTGTGTCTCCTGCTAGGTTTGTGCACTTTCCTGCTTACTTTGGGGAACCTGGAGGGCACTCTTCGGTTTATAAAGGTGTTTATTTTGTTGTTTACAAAGGTCATTGTTTTGTTGTGGGGTGGGTTTTCTGTTTTGTTTTGTAACTGGGGACACCAATTGCATACTGAGCAAACATAAATTCTGCCTGAAAAATTGTTGTGCTGTGGTACAACATGGTCTGAAGGCAGGGCTGGTGGGGTGTGCACAGGATATATGGGATGCTTTAAGGTCCCTTCCAACCCAAATCATTCTGTGATTCTATGCTGGAAGCAAGTGCTTCTGGTAATGTATCCCTCCTACTTTAGTGGAGGGGATAATGGTGGGTTTATGCTATGGTATGACAGTGAAGTCAATACAAGTTTCTTCTCCAGTAAACAGCTTTCTCTGAGTTTGCTGGTTTATGGATTGGCTTCTCGTCTGTGTTTTCCTACTATAGAACTACAGTGAGGGTCAGCCCTGCTATTTATAGCGTGGTGTGCTAGTGCCAGAATTGTTATCTTCTTTTTACAGGCTTAATAAGATCAAGTAACTTAGATTTGCTATTTGGTAATGTCTGCATTTGTGAGTATAGGCGCATCAGGAAAACAAATTAACAGGAAATAGAACTGCAGGTTATTTTATCCTACCAGGAATACAAGATGTGCAAAGGATAAATATCCTGTTGCTTGCCAGTGCTAGAAGTGTCCTCATTATACCTTAAGTAAAGGTTAATCCATTTCAAGCCTGGGTTAATGCTGCTCTATCCTGATACTCCAAAATGACCATAAGATGGGGTTTTACTCTATTAGGTAATTTCTTGCAATAACTTAATCACAGATGCCAGTGTGTGGTCAGCAGTTGCTCCGTTTGATTTAGGTGTGTCAATACGCTATAGGTTTTTCCACTCAGATACCCGGTTTATATTTCTTTTCTCACCTGCCAATGGAGAAAGAGAGTATAATATTGTACAACAGACTCAGTAGGGAGAGCAGTGAGAAGTTCCCCAGCTTTTGGAGAGGTGTCCAATCTGCAGTACATGTGTGAAGAGTAGAACCCCTCAATTTTTAGTAAAGGCTATTAAGAGTTGACAGCTCTCATCTTTCTGTAGTAGAAAATTGAAGGGGATAAAAGTGATTAAAAAACAGACATATTGACATCATCCTGAAGCAACTGTAGAGCTATTAAAACCTCTTTGTATGTGTATAGACAGCTAAATTTTTATTCTTGGAACTCCAACATCTTGCACACTGCAAAATACACAGCTAAAATAATATGTACATAATACTATAAAACTCCTTTATTTGTGACGCATCAGCTGCATTTCTGGCAACAGATATCTTATTGTTGCACCAATGAAATTAAAAATCCATGAGAGAAAATCCCGTCCTCACAGAGGGGAGCAGTCAAATCCGCAACAAAAAAAAACAGGCAGAATTAAGTAATTTCCCTATCCTGATATGGACATACAAGTTTTCTTCCATATGAAAGTTTTAATCAGTTCACCTTAAAAGGTATTAAGATCTGCTTGAAGTTCGTAAGCCTAATTTAGGGTTTGTCTTCCTTAAAATCCCCTGGTGAAATGGAAGGGGATTACGTAAATAGTCAAAAGGAAGTGTATGTACTTCTGTGGAATTTTCCAAAACCAACCCCAAATAACCTGATCAAACGAGCATGGGGCTGAGGTCCTGCTATTCGTGGCTCTCCTTTGTGAGGCTATTTTGAAGTGCCTCAGCCCACTTCCAGGTAGGGCATGAGTCTCAGGACAAATTGTACTTCTTTTTACATCTCCCCTGGCTTCCCTGGACCAGATGCAAGGGACTCAGGACTGCCCTAAGATGTCTTCTTCCAGCATTAAAAGCATTGTTCTAGTATGTCCAAGTTCTTTGGGTTTGAGACCAAAGCTATTGAAGAGAACAGCCCTTCTTCTGTCCTCTTTCTTCCCAGTTTTTAAGTGCTCAGTGACCACATGCCCTGACCTTCAAGTACATCATTTATATGGGCAACACATTTACAGCTGCATAAGATGATTTCCCCATAAATTTGTGAATCCAAACACAGGCAGGTCTGTAAACGAACAGCTACTTCAGAAAATGCTTGTTTCATTGGCAGCATGGCACAGAGGTGGCTGGAAATTAAACAGAAACACTGGTTGCCTAATGGCCTTGCGGTAAGGAAGGGTTTTCTATTCTTGGCGGTTGGTTGTTGCTTTAAAAAAACAGCCAAAAAGAAAACCAAACCCCAGCAGCAGCAGTTTCCCATTTAAAATATGGCAGCTGCATTATTTCATTTCCATGCAATGATTTCTAGAAGCCCTCCCCAACTTTCCCCATGTAATTTTGTTGAGCATCTTTAAGATTGAAAGATAGTTGATTACTTTCTTCTGTCCTTGAAATAGGTTCTTCTCTGGATGGGATTAGGGATTTTCTCAGTTTACTTTTCCATTTTATCCTGTCCTTTTGTAGCACCTAGAATTTCTGGAGTCTGAAATTGTTGTAGAGTTATGATGTATCCAGCTGTGGGAGGTGCTTGGTCCTCCTCTGGCTTACTCCTTTCCACTCTGCCACCTCTTCTCTTGCCCAAGCTGGACTCAAGCCTGCTGGAGGTACATTTTCCTCATTCACGAACAAGGCCTGTAGCCTCCATAATTCTTTGCTATGATTCACCCTTTGTTTTTCCAATTGGTTTGGTTTGGGTTTTTTTTAGAGAGTGGGTAATAGGCCCTCCTGCTATCTTGGGATAATTTTATAATACAGGAGTTTTTTTTTGATGGATTTTCTTCTATCTAAAGAACAGTGCCTTTCCTGTGAATTCTGTAGTGTCTAAGAATTTGGTGATGAAGAATGGGAAAGAAAAAAAAATATGTGTATATATAATTTTTGTATTATTTTTTCCAAGTGAGTAATGATGTGACATGCTCTGTTTCAGTACATGTTACCATGGCGATGACTGCAGGGACTACAACATCCTTTCCCATGAGTAACCACACCCGGGAGAGGGTGACGGTGGCCAAACTTACACTGGAGAACTTCTACAGCAACCTAATTATACAGCACGAAGAGAGAGAAACCAGGTACTGGTTTCATCTTTTCTTGGTTGGCTTTTTTGCGGTGTTTCTTTAAGGGCACTTTGATTCCCCATTCTTGTAAGGTTGTTGTTTTTTTCTGCTTGGTAGCAAGGAGCTTATCCCTGAAGGACACAGGCTACATTGCAGCTGCTGGCTGTGAACATCCCCTGCTACTGTAACAGTCACTGAGTGACAGAGGACCTCCATTATAGACATCTCATACTATCTCATCAGGTTATTACTACTTTGTGAAAACTGCTCTGTGCAGTGTCTTATTTTGCAGCACATGCAAGGTTTCTGCCTCAGCATGTGAGGTTGGTAATCTCCAATTCTTAAAACTCTACAGAGGCAGATGCTGCAGAGCTGCTGATGGATGGTAACTTGGGTTTGTGGTGTCTATTCATGCTCTGCAGCATGGGGCTCATGCCAAGACTCCCAAACCCTGCAGAAGGGTTACAGGAGGTGGGGATAAGGACTGACAGGAGTGATGGGGTAAGGAAAGGAGGCAGGGAGTTGGGGGTGGCCTGGAGTGGAAATAAGGGACAGTAAAGAGCATAGGGTTGGTAATGGAGGGTTTGAGAGGCTCTTGGGTAGGCAGGAAGAATTCTGGGGATAATGCAGTTCCCACCTCTAAATTGTTCTTGGGTGGTGCTAACTGGTACTCTGTGGGAGTATGTGTTGGTCATCTCCACTTTAATTTTTCTCATCTGTGCCCAATTCTGCCTCTGATGTGGTGAAGTGCTACTTGAATTAAGTGTCAACACACCAGTATTTGATGATAATGAATGTTGTATTTCAAATTGTCATCAGCATGTGAAATTATCATTCCCCTGGTAATATGTTTTTAATTGAGGGGTTTTCAGCTGAGCAGCAGGGTTTCTCTCTTCATCATATTTAGTCATTATCCCACGTAATTGAGTTGCTTCTAGTTAGGAGAATAGTGTCTGCTGAGGGCCTTTAATTTAGGGGATCCTGCTGTACTTCCCAGAGTGCAGAAAGACACCAGTAGCGAGCCTTCAAACTCTTTGCTGCTGCTAGTGGGTGATGAACATTCTGAAACCTGCACCCAGAGAGTCATAAAGAAGTATGCCATGGGTAGAAAAAGAGGGGTCCAGTAGACATGTGAGGGTAGTGAGACACTGGAACAAGTTGCCCAGAGAAGCTGTGGCTGCCCCATCCCTGGCATGTTCAAGGAGAGGTTGGATGGAGCTTTGAGCAACCTGATTTAGTGGAAGGTGTCCCTGCCCATGGCAGGGGATTTGAACTGGATGATCTTTAATGTCCCTTCTAACCCAAACCATTCTATGAATGTGTATCGCCACATGCTGACCCCCTGACATCTGTAGGGTAACCCTCAGGCTTCACTTACCACTCATCCTCCCAGCCTGGCATGGCACCAGCTGGATGAGCCCCAGGACCAGTGAGCCCTGGCCTGGGCAGGACACTGGGTGATGATGACCCTGGGGGGGTAGAGTTAGTTGGCCCAAGAGTAAGGGGAGCAGGACCAGATGTGTGAGCAGAGAGAGGTCAGCAAGGCTGGGGTGGGGGATAGTGGTGAAAGCTGGAGCTGGCTGAGGTGTTGGAGGTAGAGCTGAGATAGAAACGGTGGGGAAAAAAGAAGTGTTTATTCTGATTGGTTACCCAAATTGGTGAAACCAGCTTTGCTTCAACAAGGTTATATGAAGAAGTACAAATCAGTAGAGTGATTGTATGTTTGGACTTTGAATGCCTAATTGTGCAAATACTTAAGTACTTGCTTGAATTTGCTTATGCATTTTTAACAGCTTTGATCACAAATGAATAAATGGGAGGAGAGGCCAATAAGTCTTCGAATTTCCATTTGATGCAAATTCTTTGGTATCTGGAATATGTGAAGTAAAAGAGTTGTCTTGCTGTAGTGTTCCATTTGTTTTTCATTAATATTTAAAAAAGCAATCTCTGTTTTTCCCCTTCTCAGGCAGAAGAAGCTAGAAGTGGCTATGGAAGAGGAAGGTCTCGCAGATGAGGAGGTAAATACTACTTAAGTAACCTCTGAAGAGACTGCTTTGCTTTTGTTTCCCTACTTGAAATTGGCATTTGAGAAGCTGACAGAAACATTAGCTAGCATGACAGTATGTTTTATTCTGTAAATGAATGTTGCCCCTATAAATAATTGTTTATTAGGGAAGCTGTGAATATACTTGAATGATACTTTGTATGCCACCCTTAGTCCTTATGAGGCATGTGGCCACAGCAAGTATATTGCATGCTTTTCAAAAATTAAACTTGTTTGCCATTCTGTTTGGGAAGAAAAAGCAGTGAGATGTGCTTAGAAGTGGATAGAATGCAAAATGCTGAACCATTTTTTCTTCATTTAAACAGTAAATGGGTAAACCCTTGCTCCATTTAGATACAGATAAGGAGGGATCTGTGTTCGGTTGGCATCTCTCAGAACTTTGGTCAGTCAGTTGCTTTTCTGAGGTCCATCAAATCATGGGTGTCTGTACTGCCTTCAAGGGTTGTCAGGGAAATAAGTCGGAACAGTGCCTCGGTTATTTCTGAGGTGTGGCTGCCCTAACTTCTAGGAAGAGGGAAAGGCGAGCGTGAGTGTGTATTGCCATCTTGTGGTTTTAAATGGTGCTGTCACCCTAGTACAAAATGTGGCAGGTAGGTGCCTGATTGATGGATCTCGTTAAGGGTCTGAGATTCTCCCTGCATCTTTGGGAGCATTGATTGGTGTTTGTCTCCTCTCAGGCTGAATCTCATTGACATTTTTATAGAACAAAATATATGGCAGGATTGGACAGGTTTTTCTTTCAAATGCAAGTGTTTGCCTGCCATAAACCAAATGGATTTTGCTGCAGAGAGTGTAAGTTGCATCTCTACTGCCTGTCAGGCTTCTTACTGCCTGTCTTTTTTGCACCCATTCTTTTCGGTGGGGGGGTACGTTTCAGCTTTTATTGATCCTTCAGATGCCCAAAACCGAGAGTCCCTGTCTCAGGCAGCGACTTTGGCCTTTGGACTGATGCACTTTGTTTGAACCAGTATGATTTTTTTTTTCTTCATTATTTTTAATTACCATTTATTTACATCTAAGTATTAAAAATAATAAAATGACCTCCCCAGAAAAGTGAACCTGGGCCTCTGTATTGAAAACCCTGCTTATGGGTCATACTTGTAGAAATTAGAATCATAGAATCATAGAATTGTTAGGGTTGGAAAGGACCTTAAGATCATCTAGTTCCAACCCACCTGCCATGGGCAGGGACACCTCACACTAAACCATGTCACCCAAGGCTCTGTCCAGCCTGGCCTTGAGCACCGCCAGGGATGGAGCATTTACAACTTCCCTGGACAACCCATTCCAGTGGCTCACCACCCTTATAGTAAAGAACTTCTTCCTTGTATCCAGTCTAAACTTCCCCTGTTTAAGTTTTAACCTGTTACCCCTTGTCCTATCAGTGCAGTCGCTAATGAAGAGTCCCTCCCCAGCATCACTATAGGCCCCCTTCAGGTACTGGAAGGCTGCTATGAGGTCTCCACACAGCCTTCTTGTCTCCAGGCTAAACAGCCCCAAGTTTCTTAGCCTGTCTTCATATGGGAGGTGCTCCAGTCCCCTGATGATCTTCGTGGCCCTTCTCTGGACTTGTTCCAACAGTTCCATGTCCTTTTTATGTTGAGGACACCAGAACTGCACACAATACTCCAAGTGAGGTCTCACGAGAGCTGAGTAGATTCAAAAAGGCTTCTCCTTTTTGCATTTCTCTTTTCCATTAGGATTACAGAGAAATATTTCACAGGAAGGGAAAGTCTATATCTGGATTTTCTACTGTTAAATGACTTACAAACTTCTATCCGTGTGTCCCCCTAGAAAAAACTGCGTAGGTCACAACATGCTCGCAAAGAAACAGAATTTCTGCGACTGAAGAGGACCAGACTTGGCTTGGATGACTTTGAGTCTTTGAAAGTTATAGGAAGAGGAGCATTTGGGGAGGTTTGTGGCATTTTTGCTTGAACGTGACATAATTATATTGAACATTAAAATGAAACATTTTAATTACAGAATAAAACGTTCCACTTGGGGAGTTTTATTGCAGAAGAACAGCTATTTGAATAATTGTGCAAGTGTGATAAGTAATGAATTACTTGCATTTCTCAAGGCCCCTGGAAAGCCCTGGGAGGTTTTCCACAACTTCCCAAACTGATGTTGCCCATGTGGACCCCTATGATTCTATTCTGTGATTTGCTGTTGCACAACTCCTCTTGGTAAACATTATTCCTGCCTTGTGTCACATCACATTATATCTGCTCCTGAATTTTAGTATGCACAATCTCACAGCTGCCTGGAATTTATGGTACTTGCTAAGTTTTCCTAAAACAATAGCTACTTCAAACTGTCTGTTCATCAGTAGTATATGTGGTGTAGAAATATTTCTTTTTTCCATGTGTTTTTAAATGTTTAACAAAAGAACTTTTCCATGCTCAGCAACTTTGAGCTTTCCAGTAGATTCCATGCTGAGGTCTAAGTTCTGATGTATAAACGATTGATTGGGTTGTATTTCTCATTATAGGTGCGCCTCGTTCAGAAGAAGGATACAGGTCATATTTATGCAATGAAGATACTAAGAAAAGCAGATATGCTGGAGAAAGAGCAGGTTTGTGTTGTATAAGTCCCTTTGAGTTCAAACTTATGCTCTCTAGAAGATCGCTGATGTTCTTTGTGCAGATCCTATTTGGTCATATTTTCCACTTTGAAAGCCCCAATAATGGTATAGCAGCCCAAAGCATCTATGGAGCTGCTAGCACAGTACAAAAGAATAAGCAGAAGTTAGGAAATAAGGTCATGTAACAACATTTTTAAATACGTTTTATTTGCAGTCTGTTTTGAATAGAAACAAAGTTGGGTTGGGTTTTGATTTTGCTTTTCCTCCCTTTATCAGCACAGACCTTATAGTAATATGTAAAACTGCAGTTCAAGGAAAATGCTTCTTGAAAAGTAATATTGTGCCAAAGTGTAAACTGAGAGTATTTGACATTTTCTTTTGAAGGTTAGATACCAACAGATATCCCACTGTTCAGTGGCTTTGTTTTCCTTTTTAGCTGGGTCTTGTGTTGTTTTGCTTTGGTTTTGTTAGTTTGGTTTGGTTTTTGCTTTTACTTTTTAGTTAATACACTCCAAATTCCTGGTAGGACACGGCAAGTACTTCGGCACCTCAAAGCAAGCAAATCAAGAGCAGATGTCTCAAGCATAAGGGCAGATAAGAGAGGTTTTTTCCTTATTAAACCCAAGTCCAAACCTTGCTCATCATTTGCTCTTGTATTACATTTCCCAGCAGTGGTACTTCTTTTTTTTTTTTTTTTTTTCCTGGCACAGACGTTTTGTCTCCTCATGCCCATGTGCTGAATGTAGGGGACTAGAGGAGCAGCATGTTCTGCACAGCAGCCAGGATGTGTGTGGCCCTCTGGTCAAAGCCCTGTCCTGGTTTTGTAACCTGATGTGACAAGGAGGCTGAGCTCTGACTCTCCATTTCATTTGTGATGGAAATCTTCCCTGAAGAGTGTTTCTCTGGTATAATTTTCATTGCCTGGTTTGTTCAGCGGAAAGCAACACAAGACACAAATGCAAGAAGATTAAGATTTTTTTTATTATTATTATTAACTTTTTTTCAAGCCTGATAGCATTGGGAGATATCCTGGCTGGTTTTTAAGCAAGGTTTTAATATTGTATTTTATAGCCACATTGAGGAGTGGAGGGTGGAAAGAAATATTTTCTGATGAGAATAGAGCTAGATAAATCAAAGTTGGAGTGCCTACTACAGAGAGAGAACCCAGTGCTCTGTGAAACCCTGTGGAAAGAACACGTACATGTAAAGATGCTCCTGGCCAGTAGAATTGGGAAAGAGATGCAGAAGACAGCCCTTGAAGCTGGAATAGTAGTACGTATTTTCTCTACAGAAGGTGTTTTCTGGGGTGTGAATAATGAAAATCTTAGAGCTGTTAAGAAGTATTTTCCCATGCATGTCTTTCATTTTCCTGAAGTATGAGGGTACATTCTAGTGAAACACACCATCCTCCTCCAATCTCTATTAGTAGTTCCCAGTGAATTCATGGAGTAACAGCCCTCTGTGTTTGGGGTTCTTTTCCCCCAGGGCTTCAGCTGGGGCTGGAATAGCCTGAGTAATGTCATATATTCTGAACCTCCCTTGCCCATCAGCAGCAGTGGTAGCTATATGAGTTCTGGACCAGCTTCACACACCTCACTTGGAGGAATGGCTCCATCTTTTCTTCACTTTGCCCCTGCTTACATAGCCCAAGACTTTTACCATTTTTGCACTGCTTCAGCACTGGCCACTGAGCTCATTGCTACCTCCCGTCATCTGTGGGCTGAAACTCATCCCAGCCCTTTTCCCACTTGGCCAAGGCACATGCCATGCAGTTTAAATAAGGTTTGCTATGCAAAAGGAGCATGTGCATAGGAGCAGTCCCTGTGTATCATCTGGAAGGGGTACATGCACCATCATCAGCTTGTACAATGGTAATTTGGGAACTAGACAGTAGTTCACTGTAAGTCAGGCATTTCTTTCTTCACAGCAATGAAGGAATTGGGTTTTGCAGGAAATAATTAGACACTGTCACTCTTCGTAGAGGAGAATTCCCAATGCTTGTCTTGCCAAGTTTAAACTGAGATATAGCATAGAAGTTGCTATTAGCAATAATGGCAGCATAGAAGTTGCTGTTAGCAATTTGTTTCTTTGTATATGTATATGAGAAATCTGGTAACTTGTGACAGCAATCATAATGTATTTACCATTTACCTCTTGGTTCTTGAATTCTTTAAGACCAGCTCTGGCCTTTTCTAATAACTTTATCAGTATTTGCAAATGGAATTTTTGTCTAAGCTTGCATCAGGGACACTACATGTACCTTATTGTCGTGGTTTAAACCCAACCAGACAGCTCGTTCACTCACTCCCCCCCTTCTTGCCCTCCCCCTATGCCTGGAGAAACGGAGAGGAGAACTGAAAAGAATGCAACTCCCACGGGTTGAGATAAGAACAGTTTAGTACCTAAGGTATAACACAAATCACTACTGCTACCACCAATAATAATAATGATAAAGGAAATAGCAAGGGAAGAGAATACAACACCTCACCACCAGCTGACTGATAACTCACCCCCCCAGCCTGACCAAGCACCGACCAATACCTAGTCCAACCCTGCAGTCCACTAGCTCTTCCAGGTAACTCTCAGTTACATCCTGGGCATGACGTGCTGTGGTATGGAATACCTCTTTGGCTAGCTTGGGTCAGGTGTCCTGTCTCTGCTTCCTCCTGGCTTCCCCTCCTCTCTGGCAGAGCATGAGGCTCACAAAGTCCTTGGCCAAACCAAAACATCATTGTTATCAGCTCTGTTCCCAGGCTGAAAGTCAAAACACAGCACTGCACCAGCTACCAAGAAGGGGAAAAATGACTGCTGCTGCTGAACCCAGGACACTTATAAAGCTCTGAGGGTCAGCTTTGTGACTTCTATTTAATGTTTCTGTTTCATTTTAGGTATAGTAAAAAATGGGAATTGCACTTTTCTACCACCTTTGTCAGTTCTTTCCAAACAAACAAAACCAGCTTAACAAGCTATGTTTTGTGTTTCTAGAGACTGCTTCTGCAAAGTTGAGTGAACAGGTCTTTTTCGACATTGAGTTAACTTCTGTGGGTTCCTGGTGGGTATTTTGGGAGGACTTTGTAGGATCTAGTATGAAACTATGAAGAGAGCATGAAAAATAGTTTCTTTCCTAAAGATCATGGCAATATATTGTAAGACTAGGCAATAATATAGTGTTTCTCTTTGAAATATTTAAATTGTCCTTTAATAACATTTTTTTTTCTTTTAAATTTTAGGTGGCCCATATCCGAGCAGAAAGAGATATTTTGGTTGAAGCAGATGGAGCCTGGGTGGTGAAAATGTTTTACAGCTTTCAGGATAAAAGAAATCTTTACCTGATCATGGAGTTCTTGCCTGGAGGTAAGCTGCATGTTGGGGCATTAGGTGATTACGAGTACTTTTTTCTTAGCTCTTGTTGTCAGCTTTGTAAAATGTTAGAAACAAACATGCTGTAAAATTTGTGGTGATAAAAATTTTAATGCTGTTTTAAATCAAGTCCCAGTAATGTGACCATGCCTGAGTTTTAGGGGAAGGAAGAAAGTTATAAAGTGGTGTTAAAGTAGACTTGGATTAAATAATTATTCTAATCCAATGTTCTGCTTTTTACTGCTGAAGCTAGTAACAGTAAAAACAACAATAAAAACTCTTGTTTAAACAGTTTATTTGCACAAAATATGCATTATGTGTTAAAATTCACATCCTGGGCTATTCCTATTTAGGATTTTCAACAGGTTTACATTCAGTTTACTAAAAAAGTATGTTGGGTTTGTAGGTCCTTGCAGTAATAGCTTTATAATTAGTAGCTATAAGGCCAGTTGCAAGGTTAAATTTGGATTCTACTGGGGTTTCATTTGGAATTAGTCTTGTGATTAAAATGTTCTGATTTCTAAGCTGAATTTTCATCTCTTTGATTAGGTGACATGATGACCTTACTAATGAAGAAAGACACCTTATCAGAAGAGGAGACACAGTTTTACATTTCCGAAACTGTGTTGGCCATAGATGCTATTCACCAGCTGGGATTCATCCACAGAGATATTAAACCAGATAACCTCCTGCTGGATGCTAAGGCATGTAATGTGCATATAAACTGCCTATGCTTTAAACAGATAATGCCATTTATAGCCGTGCTAATCAGTGGGAACCAGTAGTGCCACACCAGTGATCTAAACTAGCTGGAGTAAAGGCAGAAAGTGGTCTCTGTCTTTTCCTTGTAGAACACTTATATACTTGAAGTAAAACCGCCCTTGGCTTTAATTGAAAAGCTTTCTAACCCTTGTAAGGCAAGACTAGACCCACTTAAGATGCTCAGATGCCCATATTCATAGGGACATGGTTTAGCAGTGGGCTTGGCAGTGCTAGGTTAACAGTTGTAATCGATATTAAAGATCTTTTCCAGCCTAAACAAATCTGATTCTATAGTCATACACATTAAAAACTAATAACCTCGGTTACTTCAAGATGAATGAAAGCATGAAACATTCAGACAATATTAGATAACCAGTTCAATTCCTGCAGTTACCTTACTTGTTTTATTACCTACTTGCCAGTGAAGGCAAGACTGTCTGTTAGCCTAACTATAGCAAGCCATTAAATGCATCTAGTAAGCATCATATACAAGTCTGTAGACTATCTAGCACTGATGTCTGGAAATCTGATTAAAGCCAGGTTGCCATCAAAGCAAAACAAAGGAATTTTGTCCTGAAGGCTTTTGCAGTCTCAGTGGTATCCAGCTCAAAACAAAATCAGGCAAACTAGCTTCTCTCAGTTCTTGCAGCATTGTAGTTACAACTGTTCCCAGGGGGCAATAAGCTGTTTGAGAGGAAACACACTCTCAAATACACCAAGATTCAGTCATTATTTGCCTGGTTGTCCTGGGTTAGATAGTCCTGTGCAAGTCCATCATGGCCTGAGAAGGCATATGCAGTTATTAAAACTTTCAAGCACTACCTTTCTAAACTATGTTTTCATCTTCTCTGATCTGTCTATCTATCTCTTTCTTTTTCTTGTTTTAGGGACATGTAAAACTGTCTGATTTTGGACTATGCACAGGTTTAAAAAAAGCTCACAGAACAGAGTTCTACAGGAACCTCACACACAACCCGCCAAGTGACTTCTGTAAGTAGACAGTGTCCTAGTTAAACATTTAAATAGTTCTGAGCTGTGGCTATGCCACATTCTAACTTCTGTCTACTGGGATAAGCAAGATTGCTCAGGCTGATTGTATTTAATTGAAAAACTGGAAATGCATGTTCCCTCGGACAGGGAAGCATTTCACAGGAAAAATCATAATTTCTGCAGTGTTGATGTATTTTTGCACATCCATACACAGATACAAATACAGGTAATGTGTCTGTATTTTAATGTATTTTTCAGAACAGTGTTAGGAACTCGGAGAAGTGCTATTTCGGAAGGGACATGGGTTTCCTGTGCCAGCTTACTGAAGTCAGCGACACTCTCATTAAGCTTTTTCTAATAGTAAAGTTGTTCATCAGCATGCCTTGGTGGCACAGCCACATTAGTGTGTTATTCTATAAATGCAAAACTCCTCTGCAGTTCCTGAATTCTTCACTTGTTGCTTAAAAATACCATTGCCTGCATCTGAATATGTATTGCCAGCTGCAACAATAAGCGCTGCTTATCCCAGATCAATGTGTAAAACTTTCAGCAAGTTCTAATTTAGAATTACTACTGTATCCTACTTAGATGAGTTTCAGCTGCAAATTGGACAGTAGTTGTTACTATTTTCCCATCTCCAGTTACAACAGTATTTGTTTCTAGACTAAAGCATTCTAAAGATACAAAATAGTCATTCTTTGAAATCAGAACGGTTGTATATTTTCTTTTAATTCTCACAAATGCATTTATTACCTAATAACTACTTTATAAATTAGCATTTCAGAACATGAACTCAAAGAGAAAAGCAGAAACATGGAAGAAGAACAGGCGACAGCTGGTGAGTTATTAAAATTATGTATTTTTTTTTTCCTTTTAAACTGTTTACAGAAAATGTTAAATAAGAGCTCTGCATTAATGCTACTGTTTCTTTAAAAACTGAAAGGCCCTTATCTGTTACAGATGTTGTTCTCTTCAAGCTCCCAAAATTGAAAATAACTCAAAAGAAGATGGTCTAGTGATTCCAGTTGTGGAATAGCTCTAGGATCAGGGTTGCTTCATCTGATTTCAGATCTGTGATTAGCAAGACCCTGCTCTTCTCTGTGCCTTTGTTTCCCTTATAAACATCTGAACTAACTAACCTCAGGTGTCAGTAAGCACTTAGAAAAGCTGGATTTTGAGTTTGTCTCCTAGACTGATGTGGTACTGACACTGTGTATGAGCTCCTGCAGTTCAGTGTTGCAAGAAGATGCAGAGCTGTGTGGTTCTTCTTCAGAGAATCATGGGGAAAATTTGTTTGTCCTTGTGCTGAATGGGAATGTGATTCAAAGGCAGTGGAGGGTATTGGCAGTAGAGGGCTGCAGCCTGCATTTATAATAAAGAGTGGTCAAGTAATAAAAGGGAGTAGTTGCATTAACTGAATCAAAAGTAAGTATCTGTCAGCCGTGGGACTTCAGAATTTCAGCCCTGCTTGTGATTTTCACCAAATAGCAGTTGCAGAACCCGCAGTTTTCAAATTTTGGAACCTTTTACTTTGTACCCTCTGGTTTAAAAGTGACGTGCTGCAGGATTCCCAAGAAGCTTTTGGTTGTTTTTCCTTGCCTTATGAGACATAGCGTGATTAAATTGCAATCACGCTGCCTCATAGGGACTGTATTTCAAGCCCTTACTCCTGCTTGGAGTTAATCCCTGAAAAGACTACATCTACATGTCAGTTATGACTGATGTGGTAGAACTTTCTGATGAAGCTAGGTTAATCACGAGGCAGCCCAACAGAAAGAATAAAAGGGCAATATGACAACTTTTATAAACAGTGTTTTAAAAGGAGCCATATTCTTGGCTTTCCATTGGTGCAAAACTGAACATCTCGGCTCTGTTTAATAAAATGTTTTGTTTCTTCTCAGAAAATGAAAGTAAAACCTTTTTTGTTTGTTTTTTTTTTTCTTTACCCCACCATCCTGCGCAAAAATTTCCATTGGTGGAGAGAAATTCCCAAATAGCTCAAGGTCTAGTTGTTAGCCAGAATCATACAGGCTTTTAAAAGGTTAAAAGGATGGAGCCTGGGCCCAGAAATAGCACAAATTAATTCTGCAATAAAGACAAGGTAGTACATCCAACAGCTATTTATCACCAGTGTCACACATGGGAATCTACCACTGGTTATTCCTTCTTTTCTTTTTCTTTTCTTTCCTCTTTAAAGCCAACTATAGAACTTCTTGTGTATTTTGGTGGATACCTGAATCTTCAGCTAAGATGACCCACTGATATTGCAGTGGGAATATTACATTACTTCATCACTTTTAGGAGGATGATTTCCATTTACTTTCAAGGTTCTCTATGGTTACTCATGTAAAAGAATAATGTTCTTAGGATTTTAGATAGTATGAATTCTCAAGTTAGGAATTCTTGTCCATCCAAATAACATGCTCCTATATGTATATCCCCAGGAAAAGGGTTTGCAAAGTGTGAAAACATAGTCTTTATCTTCTAAAGAGTTTATTCTTTCTTTCCAGGCATATTCTACTGTTGGAACTCCAGACTATATTGCACCAGAAGTATTTATGCAAACTGGGTACAACAAGCTGTGTGACTGGTGGTCTTTAGGAGTGATTATGTATGAAATGCTAATAGGTATGTGAAAGACCCCAACTTGAGAATTATTCAAAAGGTTCAGAGGTAGAGGGTTCATTAATTCACTGAGTCTGATCCCCTGCATAGTAGAGTTTCCAGAATTTCATTGTTCTACCTGAAGTAAGCCCCAAATTCAGCTTCCAGAAAACCTTTAAGTCCTTCCTCCTTTCCAAAAAGACAACAAGAGGTGATGCCTCGGCTGTTTCAGTGAGTTCACTCTTACATGTGTTTGCAGTTCAGTCTCATTATTGGAAGTAATAAAATAGCCTTTAATGCTGCATGACAAAAGAGAGAACTTTCGGCTGGTGCTACCAGTTAGATTTGGGAACCCTAGTGGCAAAACCAGAGGCCCAGGTCACTTTCCTCTTCTGGGAAAAAGCTTGTTAATATTTCCATTTGTCTGTACAGGGTATCCACCTTTCTGCTCAGAAACGCCCCAAGAGACTTACAGGAAAGTTATGAACTGGAAAGAAACATTGGTATTTCCTCCAGAGGTGCCCATTTCAGAAAAAGCAAAGGATTTAATTCTAAGGTCAGTAACAAAAGCCCACTTCTGGCCACTTACCCAGACATGGTCATCTTCCATTAGGTTAATTTTCCATTCTGAATGAGGGAAACTAGATTAGAGGGAAAGTGGGTTTCTTCTGTATCACCATCCATCATCTTTTTTCCCTTTGCCATTTGTTTAAGTTAGAGGAATAAGCTGTAATGATCTTGATTTGTACCACAGTATGAGGGGAAACAGAGCAGACTGAAAAGAAGGTGATTAACACAATTTTTGTCTTCTCAGAGGGAACTAGAAAATAACCACTCACCACAATTTAATGGACTGAACAGAAATCTTTGGATGTTTTGGATATACTCAGTTTTTCCAAAATGACAGTTTTGAATCCATTCAGTTTGCATTGAAGTTTTTGCAACGGGTTTTGGTGTCAAGGTCACAATGCTTTCTTGTCCTTAGAGTGCTTTTTGGTGGGGGGTGTGGAGGGTGGTTTTTGACTTTGATTCCTACCTTCCCCCCTCCTCCCCCAAAAATATTACACACTTACACAATTTTGTTACAAGCAAAAAGGGGAATATGCTTCATAGGCAGAGCCAAGAGCTAGAATTATTATTAGTCCAGGCAGTGCTCCAGTAGCATACAAATGTAGCAAATACAACAAATAATTACCCTTAATTCAGTTACAGTGATACTAATAATTCAAATTATTATTTCTAATCCTCATTAATGTTTGTGTGTAATGGATTTATTATGGGTTCGTATCTATGTCTCTAGTGTTCCAATTACGTGTCCTGTGTGTTGTCAGCATCCCATCTTTGGAAAGAGTATAGTGTTGCTGCTGAGAATTTCTTCCTCCTCAGTCTTGGCTGTGTTTGGAGCATTTTTAGATATTTCAGGCAGTATATTTGTTAACGTCTTGCTCATGAACTTACTTATACAATGACTATTTGAATTTGTTAGTTTTTCTCCATACATGGAAGGGCTTAAATTAGGGTAAGCCAGCTTTTGTTATAGGCCATTTACTAAAATGAGGTCAAACTAGCAGGTTAGGCAACAAACAGCTGGCCATTGGGTAGTTTATCCATTACAGCTTGGACAAGTTCAGACAACATATATTTCAACTTAAAGGAAGTTGCAGACAAAGCTGAAGTTTCTTTATTTTTATGGATAGAGATAAAACCGATCTAAAATAAGCTTAAGTTCAGACAAAGCCTGACAAGTCCTGCAGTCTGGTCTGGCTAACTGTTTTACAAGGTTTGGGGTCTATTATTAGTACTTGGCATCAACCAGATGGCTGGGGTACAGTAGAAATGTAAGCAGTGTTTTTTCCAAGTGACACTTGACTACAAGTAGAAGAACATTCATTACAGACTATAATTGGAGACAGTTACAGCCTAACTTGCTATGTTACTAAATCACTTGCTGAATATTTCCCTAACTAGTGAGATGGTGCCTTTTTTTGTATTGCAGTGTGCTCATGTGAAAAGTGCCTTGTGAATGTGAATGATGTGATCATGTGGAGAAACTGAATTCAGGATAACTAAATCAACCACCAGAGGCTTTGCTCATATAGGCAAACAGGATTTCATTTAACAAAGGCCAGTTGAGTTTTAGAGCAACAGGAGGCCCACATCCCCATGCTACCAAGTACTCCTGATTTCCAGGAGGTCATTAGGTGACTCCACACTTGGCAAGACCAAGCTTTTTGTTTGACATGGGCGTTTTTTCCTGTTATTGTAAGCCTCCCTCTTTGTGGCATTGGTGACATCTTTGGTTGTACTTAAAGAGACTGCAAGGACAGTGTAAAAATATAAAGCAGTTTTAGCTTTGCTAACACACAAAAGATAGCTAGGATTTAATAACTCCTAGGCTAAGCATTGGTAGGCTCATCATCTCCTTTACGAGCTACTTCTGATGAGAATCTTTTCCAGCCAGCTTAGGCATTGGTGCAGGCAGGCATCAGTCCAGGGAAGAAGTGTCAGCCTCTGCTAGTCACTGGAACAAATCCCTGATGTCACTGAGTTGCTGTCAGAGAGCTTTCACCTCCCTATTATTTTATTTCAGGATTTTATACTTTCTGCTGTTGGTGTTTTTTCTCCTGCCTACCTAAGCAGGGAACAGTCCTATCTCTATCTCCATTTTCACCTGTTTCTTCTTACTTGACTCTATGGACTTTCTCACAGCTGCTTCTCATAAATTGACAGTGTCTTGTAGAGTCTGAGATAAGGTTATACAGCTGGGCCATATCACAAATAGGCCTTGGGTCTTTGTACCACCAGCACCTGGTTGTCTAAGGAGATGATAGGGAGAATAGGGACATGGCATGCTTTGAATGTGTGTGACTCATTGTAGTTCCAAAATGTGACATCAGAGAGTGGTCCTATTTCACTGAATGTATCTGTTCCTGTTAGTTTGACTTGGAAATGTGGATTTTAAATAGTTGAGAACATGCAGAGGAGTTTTGAGTGGTAGGGACTTAGCCTCCATTCCAAACTGACTTTACAGGGCTAGATCTGCTGCAACTTCTCACAAACTTTGAAGATGTGGATGCAGCAGTGTAGGATGTTGTCATCATAGCTTTTTGTTTTGGGACTCTTAACAGTATTTTGCTTCTCCTAGATGCAACAGGCTGCTTTTACATTACCCCAAGTGATGGAACAATTGGAAATGACTTCCTCATATTCCTGATACAGGGTGCCACAGCACTTTTATTTGCTGCTGCTTCTGTTTGCATTGATTGTAACTTTCCCTTTATTTTTTTCCCCTTTTTCAGGTTTTGTATTGACTCAGAAAATAGAATTGGTAGTAACGGAGTAGAAGAAATAAAAAGTCACCCATTTTTTGAGGGTGTGGACTGGGGACACATCAGGTATGCATAGATACATACACACATTTTATAGAGAGAATAAAAGCCATGAAAGCAAGAATTTCATGTACTATAATGTCAAGGATAATTATTTTCAATTTATCTTTCATTTTGAAAGGCAGCTACTGGCAGTAGGTGGGTGACAACAAAGATTTTCAGGCCTTGCTGACATTCACAGATCTGGTCAGAACTTAAATGTCTTGAGATGCCTCAGATTGCCCAAGAGTGCCCAGGATGGAAAGAAACTGTGGTAGGGTGGTGTCCTGGGTTTAGCAGTAGCAGTCAATTTTTCTCCTTCTTAGTAGCTGGTGCAGCATTGTGTTTTTGACTTTCAGCCTGGGAACAGTGCTGATAACACTGATGTTTTCAGTTGTTGCTAAATAATATTTACTCTGACCAAGGACTTTGTGAGTCTCATGCTCTGCCAGGGAGGAGGGGAGGCTGGGAGGAAGCAGAGACAGGACACCTGACCCAAGCTAGCCAAAGAGGTATTCCATACCACAGCACGTCATGCCTGGGGAGGTAACTGGGAGTGACCCAGAAGGGCACTCGCTCTCTTCTGGGTCAGGCTCGTTTCGGTGGGTGGTATCATATTCTCTTCCCTTGTTATTTCCCTTATCATTATTATCATTGCTGGTAGCAGCAGTGATTTGTTTTATATATTAGTTACTGGACTGTTCTTATCTTCAACCCATGGGAGTTACATTCTTTCAGTTCTCCTCCCCATCCCTCCGGGAGCGGGGAGGTGGGGTGGGGAAGGAAGGAAAGAAAGTGTGGGGGGGAGTAGAGACTGTGTGGCTGACTGGGTTTAAACCACGACAGGTGGCTGTGTTATTCCTGATGTATGCTCTGATGTCAGCACAGACCTCCTCTTCCAGTAGTAATGGGCTCTGCAGCTATCGCTATAATTAACTTTTTGTAATAGGAACACAAGAAAAGCAAACTCTATTCCAGAAATACAGGGGAAATAGATGAATGAAGAGGCAAGAGGCAGCAAGTGAGAGGAAAATACAGGGCATGTCTTTATTGCATGCTGCAGATGCTACACCTGAAGGAACCGGTATGTCTACAGGGCACTGGGCAGAGGCACTGACTCACCTCTGTGGCCAAATTCTGCTGGGCCAAGCCTGGGTAGAGGGTATGGCCGAGGCAGCTGTGCCAGTTCCAGCCTGAGCTCGCGCCTGCCGATTCTGAGCTACAGCTGCACATGCTCAAAGTGATAACAGCTTTAGAGCAGAATTCGGTGACCCCACAGATCCTTTCAGTTGCAATGATGGCTATTGTTCAGCTCTCCGTGAGGTCTGAGGTAGTCTTTTTTTTTTTTTTTCCCTCAGTAATACTGAATTTTCCACATGAAAATACGTACTGAGGCCATGTGGTTGTACAGCTCTTGTACTTCTCATTTCCTCTGGTGCAGAAAGCCTCATTTAATTCCTCTCCTCAGCGTGGGAGGTATTAATAACCAACAAGAGCAGTAACATATCTGTTCATGCCACATTTGGCAACCTGGTGAAATGGTTTCCCTGTTCCACTCAGGAGGGTATTTAATAGTAATTGTAATAATTACAACTGTAATAAGTTTAAATTAATTTACAGGTGTAAATTAATGACTTCCCCACAGTGCTGTGTTCCAGTTTGAATGCTTTTGTGGGACACGCCACTTAAACAATTTCGAAAGCCACTTTAAGACTTCTTAAAGGGCTCCCTAATTAATTGTTAAGCTAATAAAGCAGTAACATGTCAGAGCCAACCCATTTTGGATGAAAGATACTGGTGACTGAGTGTCAGAAATAAGAACTACAGTTGGCAGGTATTTGGATGAGGTCCAGGCTGCTTCTGAGCACTGGAATTGTAACACATCTGGGCTCCAAATGCAAGTGAAGTCCTGCTCAGCTGGGTTTATGAAATGAAGTTGGTGACAACTAAGATCATAGCAATAGCAATATGGCAGATAAGTGTGGAATGCTGTTTCGATTAATGGGAAAATTGTGTTTGTCAAGAAGATACTAATGCCAGATAGGAAACCAGTAAATCTCCCCATGGTGTCAGCAAACAGGAAAGTCAGATACATCACTGATGGACTCAATGGAACCTTTGTGTTTTAAAGGCATATTGTTACTGTAAAAAGCTAAGTTAAAACTGGATTTTAATGTATCTCTTCCTACTATTCACTCTTCTGGCACTTGTTTCTATTTGCAGGGAAAGACCAGCTGCAATCCCTATAGAAATCAAAAGTATTGATGATACTTCCAATTTCGATGAATTTCCTGAATCTGATATTTTACAGCCAGGTGAGACTGCTGTTGTAAATCCTAAATTTCTATCTCTGATGAGCCAGATGCTGTTGTTGTGGTGGCTGATATTAATTTTTTTGATGCTCTAATCAGACATGATCTAGAGACTTTCTTTCAAAGAAAGAATGTAAACCTATGATCTCTCATAGCTTCTACTTCCTTAGAACTTTGGAGGGGGGGAGAGGGGGAAAGCCCACAGATTGTAACAGTTAATAAAAAGCATTCACATATATAGCAAGCACAGAAAAGAGTGCAGTTTTCTACCATGCAGTCTGTCTAACCAAATTCTGGTAAAACATGCACTGACTTGCTTTTGATCTTTAATGACTTCTGTGTTTCATGCCAAACATAAATCTTCACATATGTGTGGGCAAAACATTTCAGACAGATGATGAGTTAACATAATGATTTATGCACCTGAGTGGTTCTGCAAATCATTGAAGCTTTTGTAATTGTTAATTTCTATTGGCAAGTGGTAGGAAATTTTTACACATAAAAGGTTTGATTCTCTCATATGCCAAGTTCTCCCAACTCCCACTGTTTTCAATTAATTATTAATTGCTTAAAGATAGGCAGATACATAACAAAGATTGATTGAGGACAGATAAGTGTAGATGTGCTAACAACCATGAGAATTATCAAAAAGCTAGGGCTTTTTTTCTGAAATGGCTTTTATTTAATGGCAAGGAAGTTTAATGCAAAAGCAGTCAATCTCCAGTGTCTAAGAACAGCTGTTTAAGTCTGTATTTGGATAATGCCAGGTACATTTGTATTGGTTTTGGCATTTCAGCCCCAGTGAAACTGACACTGTACATCTAGATACCTACATAACTTTAATATTGGTGTGTTTGGTATCTCAAGTTGAAAATATTATTGTAGAACTTTAAAAGCAGTAACCAGGAGCTAAATAGAGAAGCCTACTGCAGTCAATGTCTGTGTACAGCATGCCAGCCATGTGGACTGCTCATGGAATAAAAAGAGGCTGTACAAACCTTGCTGGAAGCTGTAAGAAGGAGGAAGTTCTGGGAAAGTAGTATGTCTGATATATGTAATTCTATTGGGAGAACTTGGATATCCCTTTTCTTCTGTTTGTGTTGAGGATAACACAATATGTATACGTGTGTTTGCTGTGCATGGAGCATCCTAAATGTGTTTACCGTAATTGTGTATCCTGTTGGCTGTGTTAAGAGTTTTTTGTCAAGGTCTGCTAACAAGCTCCCATGAGCCTGTGAGGGTGTGTAGACATACTGAAAAAGGCAAACTGACTTGATCAGAAACAGGATTTCTTCTGCTTACTAGGGGAATAAGAGCTCAAGGCGGTTTATATCAGTGCTCTGTGAAAAGTCCTCTCAGAAGTAGTGTTGGTTTTTAATTGTTTTGTTTTTACTTGTGTTTCTGAATTCTAGTGCCAAACACAACGGAACCTGACTACAAATCCAAAGACTGGGTTTTCCTCAATTATACCTACAAGAGGTTTGAAGGGCTCACGCAGCGTGGCTCAATCCCTTCGTACATGAAAGCGGGGAAGTTGTGAAACAAAACACAACCCCACAAAAGATACAAAAACACAAACCTCAGGTAGCTGCATCACCAGACCCGCTTGGCATTAGTTATCAATACATTGACTCTGGTGCGCATCAATTTCACAAGGAAATTCTACAGGATTAGGATTTCTGAGACTACTACAGGAATTAGTTGGCAGTGCCAACTGGCTGGTTTGTTTTTTTTTTCCTTTTTTTTCTTTTTTTTTTTTTAATATTTGAATATTTTTGTTAACTTTATTATACAAAGGTACTGGAATAAAAGGAACATACATCCCTTTAACTGCCCTGCCTATGTGTGTATAACGGTTAATTATGCCTCTCTGTACTGTGGCTTTTGTACTGTAAACCATCTAATCCAGCCAGGAGTAAAACATATCCTTTTATGCAGCATTGTTACTATACTGCTTACCTGGGTTTTAGATATGCAGTATAAAAACCCATTGTCCACATTTGCAAAATTCTCTGAACAGTTGCTCCAGGGTGTTCCAGTTGTGGTCTGCAGATACCCCATGAGTGTGGCAACATTGAGTTATTTTAAATAGCAATGTCCTGTGGGCCTATTTGTACCCTGTCTGCCTTTGCTTTTGTGCACTGGAGGGCTTTATCATCTGATCATTCCTTCTTCTCTTCCTTCCTTTTCCCACTGTCTGTGGTGGTGAGACTGTCCCTGTGATCTCTTCAGTGGTACTTTAGCTTTAAATGATAGTTGATGGGTATTACTGTTTAAGATGATGACGCCTTTTGGCAACTTCAGAAGAAAAAAGGAATCTGAGTAAAAATCATACAGATTTTTCACAGAAGGGAGATCTTCTGATTCCAAGTTCTGAAGAGATGGCAGTTTCCAGGACCGCATTCCTGCCTCTGCTGTAAAGCAGATCATCTTTTTGCTGCTTGTAATTCAAATAGCCTCTTCTGTCAGTGCAAAATGTATTCTATAAGAGTGATCAAATTGTTGCTTTTCCTTTTTCATCACCCTGAGAAGTTCCAGGCAGAAGGGATCCTGCTTTAGCCTTGTCTTTCTAGAATACCCTGTGTCAGACTCTCCTGTGGGCTCCATTGTCTTCTAGGATCTCCATCTAACATGGACCATGGGATTACAAAGGATCGATGAGTCTGCTGTCCAGTTTCCAAGGACTGCAGACATCCATGACTGAATTAGGCAGAACATCCAACTGCTTTTCTCCCCAGTCTGCGGATGACTGATTTGCAGCAGAGACAGGTCTCCTCCTAGGTCAAGGAAACTGAAGCAGAAATCCCTCCATATGCAGTGTATGGTTTTGTTTCTCAGCCCAGCAGCGGTTGAGGATTGAATTGCACACCTCAACAGTTCACAATTAAGTGGGTGTTGGCAAATTTACCTGTTAATCTCTGCCTGTACTAGAATATTATCTGCAATACTTTGGATCTATCACAATACAGCAGAGATTTTTGATGTCACTTTCTGGTTAAAAGAGATTTGCAGCAACCAACAATTCCCTAGTAATTAAACAAGCAGAGTCACTGTCGCTGTCTTCCTCTGAACGGAAATGACAGACACTCTAAAACCTCTGCAGCACCCATTGGAGTGAAGCACAGGATGTTTTTGCATAGAGTAGGGAAGGCTCCATTAGACTGGCTTTTGCAGCAAAATGGAAGGGACTATTTATAAAGCCATTACAGAAATATTTATTGCTGTTAGGCACCATGGTGCAGCTGTTCTGAGTTATTTGTATGCTTTAAAAACACTGCAGTGTTCATCTTCTGCATAAAAAAAACCCGACACTTGCCAACCAGATTTATGTGGCACGTTCACGTGCACGTGGTCTTCCCTGATCCAACAGCTACCAGATTCAAGGCCTTCAGTGATGTCTTTCCTCCATTATTTTGTTTCCCTTCAAGCATCTAATATGCTATTTATACTGCATTTCTGCAAAAAATTGTAGTCTTAAGGCCATCAAAGAGGAGTAGCCAGTGCCTCAAGGACCATTCAATTTATACAGTTTATGCTTTTGCCTAAATGCTCATCACTACCTGGGAACAGTTCATTGATCTCCACATTGTTTTTCCCAGACCTTATACGGTTGTGACAAGGTCCCTCAGCAATTCCCCAGTGTTGTTCTTAGCCTTCTCAGTGTAGTGAAGCTCAGCCTGTATCCATCCAAAGACTGGCCAAAGGTGGTCACTCACTTCAGTCCATCTTTACACTTTAAGGCTGCATTCTGCCTGTGCCCTAGCAGCTTCTGAGGCTTCTCAGGAAAAGAAATCCCTTTTTTAAGGCCTTCAGTCCATTCTATAAGACAGAGGAGCCTGAGCAAAAAATACCTGCAATGCAAACTTGGCCGCAAAGGACACTGCTATTCAAAATAGGATTTTTCCTAGTTTTAATTTCCTATGTCATTCATAGGGCACTGTGTGCACCAGAAGTGGAATTCCTGCGAACAACACGTTTCAAAAGACCAGAGTAACCCTATTTGCATAATATAAACAGAAGTCTTTGCTTGAATGTCCTGAGACAAGATAAGTTTCATGGAAACTGCAAATGCTGAGTAAATACTGGTGATTTTTTTCTTTATCCTGCAGGGTTCAGGGGAGGGGAGATAAATACACAATTTAAAGCTATTAAACAACAACGTCTGTACATACTCACTGGTTTACAAACCTGGGAAAACAGCTCAACCCTCATATTTGTAACACTAAAGATAATACTCATTTAAAGTTGAGGATGATTAATCATATCAGTGCTCACATAGGAGTTATATCCATAGGGAAACAGCCTGCAGCCTATTTAGCATCAACTGCATTGTGGTAGTTTGTTTTTTGGTTGTTTTGGGATTTTTTAAGCACAGCATTATTTTAATCAGTAAGTCAAGTTAAACAGAATATTAACTGCTGCTTTTAGGATAGTTTGTTTTTTTTTAAAGTTGAAACTGTGACACTGTATGGACTAAAAAGAACAGAAGGTTAGTCTACACTGGCTTCAAAACACGGAAGTGCAACATATCTGTTGTTTATTTTATGTCTTATTCCTTTGGATGGTTATGTGTTTTCCTTTGGTGATGTTTGTCACTGTGCCATTTATTTTTCTTATTCTTGGAGTACCAAAGATCCTGAAATGGCTTGATGATTGCAACCATGTGAAAAATTATTTTCTGGAAGTATGTTTTGTTAACTTCTGTTAAAAATGTGGAATTGTGTATGCAAATTGTAATCAGAGATTTGCTGGGAAGTTAACCCATACCAGCAGAGAAAACTTGAGTGCATTGATGGAAGGGGTGAGCCTGAATCCAAATCCTGGATCTGAATACCCTGAAACTGGGGAGGAAGCTTGGATTGGGAAACGCAGCTGAGCTTTTGCACTCCTATCAGCATGAGTGAGTGGCCTTAGCTCCAGGACATCAGCAGAGGTTGTTTCATGTGCAAAAGGAGTTAAAAAAATTGCCAGCATTCAGAAATCAAATATTGTTGATACCGCATTTGCACTGTTGAATTTGCCTTGCTGGAGAGTTATGTGTTATTTTTATAGGTCAATTGTTCAAACACCTGAGCCGTTGGATACAGTATGGAATAATAGCATCTGACATGGGTGAATTCACCTAAGTGCAAAGGGGCTTGCTGAAAGCTCTCCACACTAAGAAAAATGGGCAGAAGCAGTACACAGGGTTGCATCAGCTCCTTCTAAAGAGGTGATTTTCCTTCTGTGCAGCAGCAAGTAGGGAATACTGCAGTTTAGCCCGGTTATACTCTAATGCTTAGGAAGTGCTCTCACTTTTTCAATAATATGAGCAATTACAAGCATTGTAACATACTGTACCTTGTCCTTTTAATGTTGATATCTTACAGCAGCTCATTCTTGGAGTCGAAATGGCAACTGCTATATTTTTCCTAGACTGTTTCATTAGTTGTGGTTGGGAAAGTTACATAGAAGCATTATAAAAATTTATATGAGGCTTTTTACAGCATTTGAAAATAAAAGTAGCATTCTTTTTGTAAAGTTGCTGGTTTTATTCTTTCACACCATGTACTTCAAATGCTTATTTTCCAGAACGGGCAACATCTCAGGTATTGAGGGGCTGTTTTGTGTATCTCATCCTGAATTCCATGGATAGTGAAAACCCCAGTGGTGCTACTCCCTCAATCAGAAAGTAGAGATCACGGAAATTGCTCATCTTGTACCGAGTGCAGTCATGTGAAATTACTTCTACAATGGTTACTGCTTTTCAGAAGAGACCTTCTTCCCTGTAGGCCATGATTTATTGAATAAAGGCCTCTGTGGGCAGTTGGAGGCTTGATTCACCGTAGAAACAATTTTGTCCTATTGTTCCCTCTTTCTTGCTGAGTTTAGAGCAGCAGCAGCAGACACAGGTGTGAAACAGTCATGTAAAAATATTAGAGTTGAGCAGCTGAAAGGAAAGTGGAACTCACAGCTGGTGACTGGCCTTTCTTTCTGGAGGCCCTTCCACTTGAGAATTGCTGTTCTTAGTACATGTAAAATCCTGTTAAAATTGTATCAAATTTTATTCAACGGGATTACACATTTTTTTCAATAACCACATCGTATCTCAGAGCTACGTATCGTAAGGATAAGCAGGCTTAGTTCTTTATCTCCTTGCATTACCAAATTTAGTATTCCTCAAAAATACAGCACTTTAATGGCAAATATAAAGGCTATGCATTCATCATGTGCAGAAATGTTTCTTGTTTTTAAATCGACCACTTTTAAATACTACATAGTGTTTATAAAACATGCTGTATAAAACCTACTATATTTCATTTCTTCATTCTTTTACAAAGTGTATCTTGCATATAAGCAAAACAGTTGTGCTCTAGACAATAAAATATCTTTCCTGAGGCTCTTCTTATGGAAAGAGAAGGGAGAAGTATTCAAAACAGTCTTTCTTGCTGTTGGGAGTGATGACAATAGTGGTTTCCAGCGCCAGTCAGACACGTTTATCTCTGTAGTTCAGGAAGGTCTTAACCTTTAAGGTAATTTTTTTTTTTATCATGCATGAAAATTTTAAGTATTACAGAGGTTGTAAAATGCCTATTCCATAGCTGAATTTCAAAGATGAAAGCAGGTTTTAAATGTGGGTACCAGTGGACTGTAGTGGGTCAGCCAAGCTGGGTTCAGGCTCTGCCTCACAGAACACCACTCTGCCTCAAAGAAGCTGCTACCTGAAAGAAACCAGGTACATGAGCTGTTAGGATAGTTGAAGGGCAAGTTAATGTGTGTATATATATAATACACTGAATTTCTTCTCTGTCAATAGTGATGGCAGTGGGATTTGTACACTTCACACAGGA